GCAAGCTGAACTAATACAGACAATCAAGATCGAGTAAATAATTTGACTTCAAATCGTGACTACACAAATACATCGTTGAATTAACCTCTTGTTATGATGTAGCTATTTAGCTACTTAGCTACTTAGCTACCGCTTCGCTATTTAGTTTATATCATATTCTAGGAATAAAGCAAAAGTTTTAGCTGACTGTTCATTTTTTCGTAAATTTTCTGTGAATAGCCGAACAGCGTTTGTCATTGCACTTCAAAAGGTCACGCTAGTAGACAATGAATCTTCAATGAATGAATAAGTTGATACCACCGGCTTACCCAAGACTTCCGATCGAGGGGAGAGGGAGGGGGAACAAGAAAATTTTTTGATGAAGGTGCGTGATGTTAGCCACGTTCTCCGGAAAAATTTTTGGTATGCTTCCCAAGATTTTTGCGGCCCCCTGACTCCGAAATTCTAGAAAAAGGGGCGTGGCGCCGGCGCCACGCCCCGAAAAAAAATGTTTTATAAGGTTAAATGGAATTTTTAAAAATTTTTAAAAATTGTTTTGATTAATTGCAAGTAAAAACAAGTCAATTGCGCACTCGCCCGCTGACATACTTCTTCGCAAATGCTGTAATCTACTTCATTTCTTGTTAGGTCTTAACTTCCCTGGGAATACCTCTAGCAACTTCAGTCGCCACGCGATTTAGGAATTCGGCAGGGCCGGTAGTAATCCCCCCGACCTGGCGGCAGGTCTCGTCGGCAGGTCGCTGGCACCTTTTCTGTGAGGTGGCCAGAAAGTGAGACCCCAAATTTTGGCCGTCCCAGGCCTTATTCCAAAAAATTTTCTCGCTGAAGATGCCGCCTCGACTCTGTAGAAAACTCCATAAAAGTCTGCGGTTCCAGAACTCCTCCTTTGGTAAAATATCTGGAAGCGCAGGAGGAGCTGCCGGCAACTTCGCGATGTCAGTTGCCGGCAAGCTGCCGGCAGCTCGTCGAAATCCGCGAGATGGCAGCTGCCGGCAGGTCAGAGAGCACGGGAAATAGCGTGCTCTTTTGAGAGAGGGAGCTGCCGGCATCTCGACGTGCCCCTACCACGTCGAGGTGGTGGCACCTTTGCCGACGGAGTCTGTGAGATTGCGAATTGCGGCGATATCACACAATTTACGTCAGGCGAAAATATCAAAAAAAATCTACTTTCCATCCACAAACCTTCATTATTCTCAATATATGAGTTTTTCTTGTTTAAAACGACGATTTTCTAACAGAGTGAAAATCTAGTAATGCCTTAGAACCATAAGGAACACCATCTTTTTTTTACAATCCTTTCTAAATCTTATTTGCACCGATTTCGCCCCTCTCTCGCTCATATCAATCAGCTGTTCTTTCAGGTCAAAGTCTCTCGCGCATTGTATCGATCCTTCTTACAGGCGGCCATTTACCAGTGCGTTGCTCATATTGCTGATGCAAGCGGCTAGGACTGACCGAATGGTCGAGTGGGTAACGTGGCAGCACTCGAAGTTAGCACACTTAGGTTCGACCGCGCGCGAGACAGCAGTTTTGCGGCTGTCTACGTTATCAAAATTTGATGAGCGAAATAACCGCGTATTGAGATTATACAAGATCATCAAAATCTACAATCACTCCGCGAGCTGCCGGCGGAGTTGGCATCTTTCCGCGATGTGTGCCAACTTGCCGGCATCTATGATGCCACCAGGTAGGGTAGATTACTACCGGCGCAGATCTCCTCAAACTTAACACTCGCAAACCACAATCGCTTGGTGTATTCAACATTTGTAAGTAGATAAAATGTGCTATTTTCCGTGTTTAAAGTGAGTTTGCCACGAGTTATGAGCAACCGGAGTGTTTCCGAGTCGCATCGCAACTGAAATCGTTTGAGGTATGCCCGGGGCCAATCAGTTACATTACATGATGTTACTTACAGGTTTTAATAGAAGCAGTATAATAACATTATGTAAATGAAGGGTGACAATTTTTGGGAAATGCTTGCAAGTGCATCGCACAATCTTTAATCTTCCTTGAGAAGGTTGTATTAGGGTCGTGAAGAGTTTTACTGTAAGCCAATAAATAGTAGATCAACAAGCGGTACGATTTTTAATAAACTTTACCCAGTGGTGCATTATGAGCATATTGGAAAATAGATTTTATTTTGAGACACATTCGTACAACCGTTCTCGTAAACTGCAGAGAAGTACTTGCAGTTCTTTGTTTGGGAAGAAAAAGAGTCAAAAAATACGTACTGTTTATTCGCCGGTATACAAAAGAGCAAGCTGCTGGATTTATTTTTCAAATCTGCCACGGTTTTGCGAAAGAAGTTATGAGCCCCTAGATCTACAGGTCTTGTCCACTCTATAGTTGAATCAAATACAAGTGGATATGTTTGCATGTGACGTTCCGAAAGAACATTTTCGAGGGGGGGGGGGAGAGAATTGAGATGACGCAACAAAAGATCTTCCTAAATTTTTTGAATTTTTTTCACTTCGCAGAAAATTTTCACACTTCTTGCAGGCTTATAATCTAAGCAAGAAACAAAATTCTACCTAGTTTGAAGAAATTCTAGTTAACATGCCAATTATTTACAATAGGAAAAGTCGCTTGCCAATTTTATAATCAGGGCTCGGCACGAGCTGGCACCAGGGAATTTTGAAAACGAAGTCCCCTTTGAAATTTGCCAATTTTTACGAAGTCCCCCTTGACTTTTGGGAAATTTTACGAAGTCCCCTTTGATCCTCAACGATATCCCCTCTAAAATCCTAAAAAAATCCCCAAAATCCCCCAAAAAACGAAACGTCGACTAAAAAAAAAAAAAAAAAAAAAAAAAGGTCGTCGCCACCAATTTTGCGTATGTCTTCGCCCACAAAAACGAAACCCCCTTTGCTTTTTGCCCCAAAAACGATATCCAGCTTGCCCCGTGCCAGCTGGTGCCAGGCCCTGTTTATAATCCATGCTATTTTCATTCGCCACTCATTTTTCAGGCGCTTTTTTTATTTTTCATTTTTGTTTTTCATATTCTTTTATTTTTCCTTCTAGGAAAAGCAAGAAATAGTCGCAGCGTCTAGACAGATTAATAGCAGCGTATAATAGCAGCTTCCGGGCAGATACTTCCATTTTCTGCCGACCGCCTTTTCATGGCACTTTTTCCAATGACACTTGAAATGCGTGGAACATCTGCAAAATCTTTTTTGAGGCTATTTTATGAGAACCCTGGACGAGTACCTGGTGCTACCCTTCAAGCTGACAGCATTTGCAATCTTGTCATTTTGAACATGAAAATATTGTCATAAAATCGAGATCATCTTGTTACCCTAAAAATTGTCTATGTCAGGTCTTGAAAGCCATCTGTTTCAAATAAGGCGAAAGTTGTTCTTAAGACGAGCCCTGCAAATGCTTAGGTGATTTGAAAAGTGCACGCTGTCAGAGTAACTTTCCTAACTTTGGACATAAGAAGTAGCTTGACTGGGAAAGTTCACCCCTTCGTGGTACAAAACTACTTTTTAAATAACACGGTATGACAGTGCGACAGTGGCAAAGATTCATTTCATACAACATGAGTAAATATCTGTGAACCTCAACAGCTCATTCTTCTGCCCCAGAGGAGGGTAACATATAGGCGAGGAACCACACGCACAAAACTAGACACCGTTAGATCAGGCTAAACATAAGACGGAGTTTAACAGGGAGAAAACTCGCAGTGCCTTCCTGTAGCTAGCTCCTATACATTCAGCATTCCTAAACTTCTGATCTGTGTAAACCTTCATCGAATAAAGGTGATTGGTGCAATACGAAACCCTTACACTTTCCACGCATACAACACTTGAGTCAGTGGATCCACATTTCCGAAAAAGTGATCTAGCGAGAATTATTGACGAAATAGGAACGTTGCAGTGTTCTCTCCAATGTTCTTCCACACTTTTTTTATGCTTTTTATAAAATCACTTATTGACCAGTTACCCAGGACTTTTGATGGATAGCGAATCTTACTTGCCGATAAGTTAACCAAGTTGCGTTTGATGGTATATCATCTCGCATAACTAGATGGTATGAAAGGGTGTAATTGCCATGTTCTGGAGCCAAGCGATAATCATCATCCCTTGCTGTTTGATAAACTGTAGCACCACATTGTTTTACCAAATGTACTTCATTTTGCACACGTTATGGCTTATCGTGTATGCACCAGTAGTCCGTGGAAGCGATTCTGGTGCCAGAATCGGTTTTGAGAAAGAAATTTGCACATTTCGGCCATAATTAAACTTCCACAAAAGTTACTACCAAAGGCGCATGTCGCGTTCAGTTTGGCTCGCGATTTTTCACTGGTACTAATAAAACAAATCGGTTAGAGTCTTTATCAAACAATCTGTTAGATTCAAAAGTACTGCACAACTATACTCTGTTCAGAAAGCTTACGTCTTGGCACTTTGCCACATGGCTATAAAAGTTCGGAATTAATGAGCATGCTTAATTTCTCTGCACTTTGATAAGCAAAAGACTTGACCAAAACATTTATTAACCTCGTCGGAAAGGCAAAGGGATTAAATTGTTTTAATTTTGGTTCGAGGTCAACGTATTAGTTATTCTGTGACAGAAAAGTTGACTGATGCGTCTCTTCACATACATAAAAGGTTGACTCTTACGTATAATCGAGAGCGATAAAATACATGATAATTAGATTCCTTGCATCTTGTCAGACTATGTTCCCCTATTCCTGTATGCTATATCTTGTCAGACTATGTTCCCCTATTCCTGTATGCTATATTCTTATATAATTTGAAGGAATCTGAGGAATTTGCTCTTCATCAATTCTCCATAATGATGTTCTTTAACGTCTACTGCAGTGTATGTAGTATAAGTGCTCGTACTTCGATCATACGACCATCCTAATCAAAGACACTTGTCCTTAGAAGCTTTGAAATTTGTAATGCTATGCTATTTGTGTTTGCAGAAACAAGAATTCAACAACAATTTATTCAACTCTACATGCTGTAGACTCTGCATGCGGTAAGTGAAGAAGTTTAGACGGTCTTGTCGAACTGAAATATGTGCTATAGTTGATTTCGAATCAGTATAAAAATATATCTGCGAAGCACTTGCACAATAGACTTTCGCACCTTGAGAGCGAACATTGCTTACAATTAAGTAGTCTGACGGCCACTTGGCTTCGACTTTTGTCTCTGTTCATATTTTCAGATAAATTCAATAGGTTACGCAAAAGTTTTCGGTGGAACTGCTTTCGATGCAATTTGGTGTGCCGCAATGATGATTAGTTGTGGGTAGAGGATCGAGAAGAGTCAAGTGTCAAGTGCAGTTGAGTTAAATAGTTTTCGTACGGCTCATAGCAGAACGCATCAATGGTGCCTCACCCCAAGCTCCTTGGCATACGGCGAAGCTTCTCTACCAGGTCCTCCCAAATTCTCAACGTGTACCTAAATAATAATATTTATGTTCAGCGAATTTTGCGCACTCTAAAATTGAGGATATTCTCGTTTATTTTCCGTTTTAGTTCTGAATATGCTGAAGTAAGCCCCGTTAATGCAAAAATCAGCAGAATTGATGGGGGCGCAAAATCAATTGTATGAAGTGCTATACTATCTCAAGATGTAAGCCGTGAAGTCACTGGTTTTTGATTCTTCTTAATCCTTATATTTTCACATGCAACCCAGAACAAATAAAAATCTTGCAATCATTACGTTTGCCCGCTTAGTGTATTCATAAAAGTCTGTCACCATGTGAGATCGAATCCCCTTAGTAAATCAATATCTGCTTTATCTGCTTCTTCGTTTGCTTTTTTTAAAGAAATTTTGCAGTCTCACTTTCATAGGGTTCGAAAGCCACACGCTATAATATAATAAAACCTTACCCGTTCTGCTGGTGCGTCGGTGGTTCTCTGAATACATGATTTGAGTCGACTAAGCCGTAAAAATTAGCATATACATAGAGAGGAAGAGAAAGAGAGAGAAAGTTGGTATTGTTGAGAAGTGCAAAAAATAATTCGTCTCATTTCGGAGAGATTTTCGGACAAGAGGCTACGGGTTTGAAAAGCCATTGTGAAGTATTCAAATAATTCATTTGGGTACTGGCTTTGGGATAGGGGACTATGTACAGGGTGTTTCAAAAAAATGTTAACACTGTTTGTTCGTTAATAACTCCCTTACTTTCATTTCTTTCGCCGAGCCTGAGGCACCATTCTAAGGAGCAAGGTTCAACTTAGATTCGTAGTATGGAGCATATCATCGATCACTCTTCATTAGTGTAGGATTACGGTAGGAACTTTGACAAGGATTTTAGGCCATTGGAGGCCATATTCTGCCTCGGAACAAAACTAAACAAGCCAAAAACTCTTATACTGTGATAATGGAAGCCGCTAATTTCGAATATGAAATTCCCACTTCACTGTGATGCTTCTTTCCAAGGTTATCCCAAGTAAACCGTAATAAATGAATTTCCAACATTTGTTAGAAATGTGATTTCACCTCAAAAAAGCTAAAAACACTCGTAAAAAGTTGTGTAGTGAAATCAGCGTGAACGAAAACCCCAGCACACGATTTTTCAGATTTTTTGAAAAGAATTTTGTCGAATGGCATATTTCACAATGGATCCACATGCTATTATAGAAGTTCATATCGTAATCCTACAGTAATGAAGAGCGATCAATGATTTGCTCCATACTACAAATCTAAGTTGAACCTCGATCCACAGAATGGTGCCTCAAACTCGGCGAAAGGAAAGCAACGAAGTTATTAACGATCGAACAGTGTTAACATTTTTTGGGACACCCTGTATATGTCGCCGATAGGTTCCACTGTGCGAATAATACAAATCTGTAATGTATGCAATATGTATAGATGCGTGTTCTCTGACATCAGATGTCCAGAGTTATCCGTTTCGGCACATAGTCCTCTACCCCTTACTTGAAATTGACATAACATGGAAATAAGTTGAATGAGATGTAAACTCACAAAGTTGAAAGGAGCAATTGTTGGGCGTGTGTAGCTAGTTAGGAAGCTTCCGGCCTGCAAATTACTAATTATGAAAACTGTGATGTCATGCGCCGAGATTTCAGAACGGCTATGAGCTTTCCATAAACTGCTATTATATAATTATTTTAAGCAAAATATTCGCTTCGGAACGGTATACATATTTGAGGTGAGCGATACATCGCTTGCTTGTTCCTGATTTTGCCGTCTTTCCATCCCTTTTCCTCTTAAGAAAGTTGTTTCTTAAAAATGGTTGAAACACGCTTTGTTTACAACCAGAAAGAATCTTGCGTATCATATCAGTGAAGTTGCAATATCAATACTCAAATAATGTTAGGACTGGATTTTTTTATGACTGGCCTAAAGCGATGCGAAAAGCTGAGGAATTCGAACAATTTTGCAAACATAAACATTGTGGTGAGACGCGTGTCAGTAAGCTATTTTCAGGTAATGACATCGATAGGCTAATTCTTTGGCATAACGTTCCGGCAAACCAAAAATTAGCAGAGGGGGGTGAGCATGCTTGTAGCGAATAGGAACTTTTTTCACTTTCTTATTCGCCGCTTCTATGGATTTATTAATTCCTTCAAACTTATGCCAATGTCATTGCAGGGGCAGTAGGGGCAGTAGTGCGGCTGCTTTTATATTATACTGTTAGTTGGGGTTCAAAAATAACTTTTAAAAGGGTGCATGATGTATATCGATACATAGTTTGCCACAGCAAAAGATCTCTGGAAATAACAAAGCCATGCTTACGTTGGCCGCAGGCTCTCTGTGCGTGGAAAAATGCAGACTTCCTAACGCGTAAAACTAAATCTATGGTTCTACATTCGTTTGCGCTTTGTGGTAGCAATTTACCGAATTTACTTTGGCTACCCTTGCGGGAAAAGCCTCCTACCAGATTTATAATCTTGTATGGTCTCAAAAAATATGTAAAAATCTTCTACTTGCAATGCTGTTAGCATAGTCCATATAGTGCTGTAACGAGCTTCAATGTCGCTACGGTTGATTACTAATATTTGATTACGGTTCTCACGTAAAAGTAGCGAGAATTTCAAAATGCTGCTTTTCTGAAGCAAATCAAATTTGGTTATGTGCATAAATGATGTTTAATAAGAATCACGTTTCAATTTGCAGAAACTGCAAAACCCTTCGTGTATTTGCTGCCGTTACGTGTTTCATGACTTTGCCAAAAATCGATACCCTCGAAGAAATTTTTGAAACTAAAAACAGTAGATTAAAAGAACCGAAAAATATCACTTTGTAGTCCAAGATATTAGCCTAACTTTGAGCAGACAAAACTGACGGGTGGAGAATATTGGCAATTATCAAAAAAAAGCATACAAGATTGTGGCTCGAAATTGTACTCATAAGAAAGAGAGGGAAAAATTGCATCGAAGCATGCTGACGCTCATTCAGATCTTTATTGCGCGTGGTTTTATGAAGGTTAAAAAAAACGGATAAAACTTTTGGGACAACCTAATACATTGGATTTAGTGCTTATCACTTGTCGTGGAGTCCATGATTTTTGAAAATTCGGCAATAAGAAAATTTATCTGGTAAAAATTATGCGAGATTGTAGGCTGCACATTAGTGTACTGGCTAATGCATGAGAAAATTTTGCAGATTTTTCCGAGCAAGCTATCCCTTAGTATGTTTTAGGCCAAACTCAGACTAGCGAAATTGGAATGTCGTTTTCCAAGCGTTGTTCTTCAAGTCCAGTCAATAAAGAGGTTGCAAACGATATCGTCGAGACTTTTATTTATTAATAAATGCAAAAACATGAATTCAGATTTACGATCTGGAAATTCCGTCAGACTTAGGCAAGTTGGCCATCCCAATAAAATAAGATTTTCCTCAGAAAACTTTGTTTTCAAAAGATTTTTTCTTAAAAACTAGATTACAAACTCATGCAAGCTGCTGAAAGCTTCATTATAAACTTACACGAGGTCGGGCAACACGTGGTGGCGAACGGCGAGGACCCAAGCCAGTCTAAAGTAGTTTATAGTCAAGGAGCGTGTGTGATTTTGAGAGCTGCGTTTGTTATTACTAAAAAGAAAAATTACATACCACAGGACTTGCGCCTGGCCTTGGACGGCGGTTAACCTGCAAAAAGTTCATGAAGCATCTTAAAAAAACTTCCTGGAGGGCGGGGCTACCGCCCACCCTTCGCTCGAAAAAATTTTTCGTTGCACCCATCACCGCTTTGACGAACAAATTATCGGACCACTTTTGTAAAAACGCATGGTTTTAGTAACTCTTAGGAGTTTGTATAGTTTGAATCAAGCCCTCCCAAATCGCAGATCTGCATACGTTTACGTTGTACACAAAAAATTTATCTGAATACAGTAGCACTAGTTAAGACTAGCCCTAAGCCAGGTGCATACGTATATTCGATTACCGAACTCACGATATCTTCGCCAGCAAAGAAGAGATCCAATTTTGTTAACAGATCCAGTTGCTGAAAATTCAAGATAATCCGCAGTCAAATAAACAAAGGATATAGCCATTACGTTTTGAAGGATTACAACACTTATCATGCAGTATAAACCTAGTCACGGAAAACTGTGAGTGTTCCGGATTCCCTATTATTACTGATACTTCAAAACTAATCAATGTGACAAGCATTCAGTAATCGATTCTCAAAATCAAATATCTCCATTCTCAAAACTCGTTTGTTTTCCTCCACATTAGCAGTTTTGCAAAGATAATCTTCCTTTTTGTCAAGAGAAACAAGATCTTATTTGCATTATAATCAGTATTATTTTGGTATCGTTACAATATGTGCGCTTCTTATAAAAAGATGATGACTCCACATTGTCGCGCTACACCCTAATTTCTCGAGTACATGTACGCACCTTTTTTGATTATTTAAGCAAGCTATTAAGCTGCGTCCATGTGTTTCGAAAGACGAATATTTCGTCGCGCTATACCCTCAGGCAGTACGCCTTACGATGTAGAATTGCTTGGTCGCAGAATCCTTTGGATCCTATGTTTGGATTGGTTAAGTTTAGAAAAAACAGGTGTTTCCGAACTAGTGAAATGTACTCGTGAAATTAGGTTGTTTCTTAAGATAGTCATCAATTTCAATAGGTCGCTTAGTATATGCTAAAGTAGAAATCGCACATGTCACTACAACGCATACGTATCTCTGGACTAGGCCTTACCTGTTGTGGTGTCAAGCCTTTCATCATAGACTCAAGATCTTCAGAAGCAGAGTTCTGAAAGTAACTGTTACTGTTTTAAATTAGTACTTCCAAGACTGCAAATTTGCTTACTTAACGGCTTATGAAAGAAATTACTTCAATCACCTTCAATGCGCTCCAGTTGGGCGCACGCAAATAATTCATTCGTATCTAGAGCGCTACTTCCAAGTTCAGCCATTGAACATTTAATTTTTGCAGTAAGCTTGGACGAAAGACGACCATATCAGAAGCAAAGGTTGAAAAGGGTATTCGTCATCAGTTTTTGAAATTTAAGCTCCCCGTTCTCACTTGCTGCATCAGACAGTAAATTTGTAAGCAAAAATTTGGATTTATACGAGCCGCAGTCTGTCAAAATAGCGCTTTGAAAAAGAAAATTGTGCGCTTTCAGGCATCTCAGAATGAATCACCTTAATAAATGGGTTTCCAAAAGGCTATTAACGCGGCTAAACAAGTGTATCCCGAGTACTAGTCCACTCACGTGGAAATAATTCGCCTATCTTGATTTGGTACTATAATAGATCTTATTTTCAGAAACACTAAAAGTATTCAAACTTAAAAAAAAACGGAAAGAAAACGTAACGTTCAAACTTGTTGAATTGTGAAAATCAGTGCAAGTTTGCTGATGTTTTCAGATTTGTGCACAAAATGTATGTTAAAGTAACAAATTTTCAATGATCTCGAAAATCAGGGCCGGTAGTAATCTGGTCGAAACTCCGAGTTTAAAGCTGCGCGTTAACTCAGAGTTAACTCCGAGTTTCGTTCTGCTACTTGAGGATCCGCTCTAGTTGTTGAGGAACCGCCACATGCTTCATCGCAAAACGCTGCGATTAAGTCGGGTCTCGAGCTTCCGTTGCTCGGCGCGAAGTGCGTACTTCTAGACCGCTAGGCTAAAGAGCCACTATTGCACAATGGCCGCAACTGCCTAGTGAATCCACGTAATCAAAATCTCACATGTCAAGACACGTGGAGAGGCGTTAGGCTTGCCTGTGAGGTGCCTAGCAGTGGCGGTCTCAAAGCGGTTCCGAGGGGGGGGGGGCGGCAAAAATTTTCTTCAAATAAAGGTGCGTGGCGTTAGTTACGCACTCTGAAAATTTTTTTGAGGTGCATCTCAAAATGCTTGCGGGTCTAAAGCTCCCGAGAATTTTTTTACAAGGCTCATTTGAGTTTATAAAAAATTCTAAAAAATATTTTCATTGTTTACAAAAATAAACAAGTTATTTGCACATTTTTATAACCCACGTAGGTAAGTTTCACCCCCCGCCCCTTCAATCCGCTACTGGTGCCTAGCCATAATATATCTTAAAGATTCTCAAAAAAGTAGTAGGATAAAACATGGACATGGACAGTAACCTAACAATCCGTCCTCCTCCCCTTTCACCATATTTTGATATGCTATTATACTTGATAAAATTCGAAAGTCTGTTAGTTTCCAGAATTTTTCGAATGACCTAGATCTATAATTTGTAATCTTGAAATAGACCATTATTTTAGAAAAATAGACTTCAAGTAGTAAACAAAGTCTACAGGTCATTCGTAAATCGACTGTTAGAATTTCAAAAGACCTTTACATAATGTGGCAAATTTCGAAAAAATTTTTCTCGAGGTTTCTGTTCTGACACAATAAAAAAGAAATAATTCAAAAAACACTCCCTGGTATCATTACTTTTTTGCTAAAAAAGTTCAACTCGACCTGAGATCTTCCGTATATGCCCACCGTAATAATCCTCGTCAAAAACGGACAGCATGATCACAACTGCGCTGCCAAATGAACTCAGTGGCGATTTTTTAAGCAGTTCAGTAAGTTTATCCACCACATCTACTGCAGCCCCATCGCATAGTCTTGCAGTAAGAAGAAGTAGTAAGTATTCAACAGTGGCGGACCGAAGGGGAGGTTCCCCCTCTCCCCGGGATGGGTCGCGAAATTTTTGAAATTTACTTACTGTGTTATAAAAATGTGCAAATGACTTCTTCGTTCTTGTAAATAATAAAATTATCTTTTAAAATTTCTTAAGATTCAAATTAGCCATGTAAAAAATTTTTTTGGGGGCGTAGCTGCTGACAAGCCCCCTTTTCCTATAATTTGGGGGTATGGGCCAGCAAAAAATATTAAGAAGCACCCCGAAAAATTGTCGCCATGCACCTTCACTTGAAAAATTTTTTGTACCCCTTCCCCCCTCCTCCCAGAAATCCTGCGACTGTCACTGGTAACTAAGTATTTAGCTAAACTTTCCCTGAAAAAAGTTCTAAGTGAGATTCTTTATCCATCTACCGTAAATACATCGAAACCCCTTTTTGAAAGGTATTTTCAAGCGACTATGATATTCCTGATCAACTTGCGGAATTAACGAAGCCAACTTTCGTGAAATCCTGTGGTTTTGGGTAGTCTACCGTATCTCTTCCCCGCTATAAACCGCTGTAGTGAAAAACGCGCATTGTGATCGTAATCAACACACCGCGTAACGCCACTGAGCCAACCAATTTTAAATCTGTTATGGGACTTTGGCTTTCACCAAATTCCTACAGTAACCCTGCTCTGTCTCTCCGCGGTGAAAATTGAATATCATATCCGCAATCAGCGCAGCGATTAAGCCCGCCAGACCAAGTTTCAGTCAACTGCTTCAATCTCGCCCAACTACCGTATTCCTACCGTAACCTCGCCAAATGGCCCCGCAGTTCAAAATGAACATCGGATTCGTGATCAGCGTGCCAAATAACCCCACTGTACCAAGTTTCAGCCAATTTCGTGACTTTCGCCCAACTACCGTATCCCTACCGTAACTCCCTCATGTGGGCGAATGGCGAAAAATGAGCATCGGATTCGTGATCAGCACGTCCGATAATCCCCGGGGCCAGAATTTTACAAAATTTTGAATTTTTTGTGTTCAACGGTGCACCATGATACCCCCATCATGCTTCATGAAACTCGGAGCAAACTCTACCCCGGAGGACTTTTTTCGTTTTTTTGCGTTTACGCATTATTTCTCTTTCTCTAACCAAACTCGGAGTTAACTCCGAGTTTCACGCGAGCATGAAACGCGCACCAAACTCAGAGTTAACGCGCAGTTAAGCTGCGCGTTAACTCGCGTAGCGTCTCGCGTGGAACGAATTACGCTACTTTTCCATACTTGGCATAAAGTATGGAAAAGTAGCGTACTCCATACTCCATACTTAGCATAAAGCACGTCTTGCGGGGTATACTGCCATATAACCCTTTCCCCTATTTGGTTTGCTTATGCAGGTGTTAATGGTCCCTGAAAGGTGCGTGTTAGCTCAGAGTTAACTCTGAGTTAACTCTGAGTTTGAGCTGCGCGTTTCGACAGGTTTACTACCGGCCCAGAGATCTACAGAATCAATGAGATTATGAACGCGCTTTCAAGAGCTTACAGTTTCTTATTTATGTTGGAAAGGAAAGGAAACTCAAAACGAAAATAGAAAGCGAGAGAAATCTTCTCTCCTTCTTATAGAATGGTCTAAACCATTAAGCCATCAGATTTTGTAGAAGTGCGGATAAATTAAAGGTTTTCCAAACTTTGCGATACGCTTTAATACTACTCGATCTACCGCCACGAGCAGGCGGGAGCGGTTTCCGATCCTCCTCCAATCAAAGCTTCTTTTACGTCAACATCTATGCATTTATATCTTTACTTTTTTGAGCTAAGTTTTTTGTCGTTCACAATCTTCGCTCTCATCAGTCTCAAGGATGCAGTCAAAACGGATAATGCCGAAAACATTATCGCTTGAGAGAGTGAACTTTCATTCCAGTCTGTCATCATAATTTGCAAACTCAGAACTGCCAAACCAGTGCAGCTATCTTCGACTGAGCCGCGAAGTTGAGGTTTGAAGAAAGAGCGAGGGAGAGAGAGAAAGTAAAACGAAAAAAAAAACACTATGTTCAGATTTTAGAACATAGGATACAATCAAATGGCTCAATGCTGGCAGCAAAAGCATTGCTTACCAAGACGTCCCTGTATGCCGGAGGCAATGTGTCTTTATGTTCTCCCATTCTGGGAACATTTTCCTGAAAAGTAGCATTTATATTTGTTTGATTTCTCTATATTTTTATGGCAAGTCTTTCGAGGTCTAAAAGCTTTCGTTTCCACTTTTAGAGTTTTAGAGATGAACAATAAGCCGGGTGTAATGCAAAAATCTAAAAATTTGTGTTGACATTAATTTGATGTACATTTAGTCCACTCTTTATATCAATCTGTATCAATCTTGAGCACGTAAAGGTATTCAGTAGGGTTTTCTCCTGATTTTCACAAGTCTGGACTCAATAGTAATATTCATGTTTGAAAGATTTTCCATTTCTTATTTTATGAGCACTGTAGGTGCAGCTAAGCTGGGTAATGCAGAATTTTACAAAATCATTGTGACATAATAACAACAAGCTCGATCGTAACAGTTGATATATACTGATTTATAAACTATGAACAAAGAAGTAGTATATGCTACTTTGTTTGCTCAATGCTGCATTAAGACTAGAATGTTCTTACTCTTATTTTCAGTATTTTCGCTGTTACTTAGTACAAGCTCTCATACGCACTTTCATATCAATCGGAATCCACTTGCCCTATTATGACTAAAACTCACCGCAGGGATTTCACTCTCCGCACCTCGCGGTCCATACTAAAACACGAAACTCAATCCATTGAGCCGCAAAGATAGTTGTAGAAAGAAGGAATTTGGTTTTTGAACAGTCTATCGCAAAAATCAGTTATACTCACTGGAAGCTGCAATCTCGGATTGACCCCAATATCGTTGTGTCCCGGAGGAAGGTAAGTTTGTGCCTGAACAGTAACAATTACTTCAAGTATTTCTGCACATTTCACTTTGTAGATTTTCTATCAACAGCCTTCTTTCACTTCACAATTAGTTTTGGAGGTGCGGCTAGGGGTGGAATGGTAATGCGAAAGTTCAATAATTGTTTCGTTGGCACTAAAAATAAGTTTACCTTGATCAAGCAAACTAGCCACTTAACATGCAAAACTAAACATTCATTTAGTTTGGTTTTTTCACATTTTTCATAGTAGAATTTTCCTGTCAACTAACCTGTCATCATACTAAAATGCGAGCAATCGCAGGATCTAGTGCATGTTACTTTTTTGCTCTGGGCTGCATCAGAACTATGATAATTTCTGGATCCC